CCTCTAACAGCTGGAAAAAGAAAATCCTAAAAGGATGTAATAATGTCTATGCTTGCTTTGCTCAGGCCTGGCCAACAGAGGTCCCTCTTGGTCTTCCCAAAACTGGGGTATGGGATCTGATTTAGGGAAAGAACAGATTGTCTGTGTTCTGTGGTGCCAGACTTCTCTGGTGGGACAGGAACTAAACAAGAAATTGAGGTGATCTGTAAGCTGCTTTAGTGGAGTTTCAGGTGGATATCACTGCTCTGTACATGCCTGAGTTGGAAAGGAATGGCTGTTGTGGTCTCTGGCTCTTGAATTAGGAARGAATCCTTTACTTTAAGAAGAAATTCTTCCCTTTGAGGGTGGTGAGGCCCTGTCACAGAGAAGCTGTGGCTGCTCCATCCCTGGAAGTGTCCAAGGTCAGATTGGACAGGGCTTGGAGCAGCCTGGGATAGTGGAAGGTGTCCCTGCCCATGGCAGGGCGTGAAATGGGATGATCTTTGAGGTCTCTTCCAGCCAAACCATTTTATTACTGTCTGATTTCAAGTATTCRTGGTTTTTATTTGTTTTTGTTAGCATTTACACTGAATTTTTTTAACTCGAGCTACTGCAGCAAATGGTGATTAAGATTTTTTTCTCTCATTCAAGACTTTGGAGTCCTCTATCCAAGGGCTACGAATCATGTRAAGATGGATTTCCACAATCTAGCAGGACAAACTGCTTGACAGAACGCAGCTCCCACATCTGCACAAACCTGAAAAGGGAGGAGGAGGAAGGTGAAATATTTGAAAACACTGAGAAAATACAGCTTGGCAGATTTTCTTTTGAATCTAAATTTGGTGAATTGTGTTGGTTTCAAAATCAGCTGTGATTGTTCTTTTTTTTTTTTTTTTTTTTGGTTGGTTGTTTCATTCCATTCTTTACCAATGCTTGTCCTTAAGTAGTTTATTGCAGGAATTTATGAATCACTAACTTAAAAGGGGAATTTTATGTAAATTGTCTGCTAGAAATAATAATAATAATAATAAAAAAGAGAAAAACTGATTCTTTGTT